GTATTGTACCACCTAATCCTGCCGGTCAGAATGCTACCAATGCCATGTTAGATGGTAATGGTAAATTCAATTCAATGAATGTGCAACCTAACAACCAACAACAACAAGGCCAACAGAATCAAAATCAAGGCAATTGCAATACAAATAATGCCAGCCTCAATACAGCTGGAACACCCGCCAATATGAATATGTGCAACTCAAATAATGCCAATAATACAACACCCGCGCAAAGTCCTTCACCACGTGCACAAGCACCAACGTATCCGCCTCCACCACCACCACCAATGTTGCCCGTCTCATTGCCAACCTCAGTGGCAATACCTAATCCTTCACTGCACGAGTCGCAAGTCTTCTCACCATATAGTCCATTCTTTAATCCTCATCCACCGCATGCACCACCGCCACAACCTCAACACGGTCCGCATAGTGGTACGCATGCAACGCCAACAGCCGCACAAATGCATCACCTAAAGATGTCATCCAGTCCACCAGGCGGACTCGGCAATATGATGGATTCACGCGACTCACCGCCACTGCCACATCCACCTACAATGCTACATCCCGCCTTGCTAGCAGCCGCACATCATGGCGGTTCACCCGACTACAGCGCACATCTGCGTGCAGCAATGGACGCACAAGATCGCAACTCCGACTGCAATTCAGCCGATATGCAATTCGATGGCATGCAACCAACAATATCCTTTTTGAAGCAGCAAATGATGTGAGTACCACACAGAGTTCTATTTTTTTTTTAAATAAAATATGAGTAAAATCTTAGAAAGTAATAGAATAAACTAGTATGTGATATGTGAGTTGGGTATATGAAATTTTGCTAGTAGAAAATGTGTAATGGAAGAAATCTATGTAATGTTAATAACTTTTGTTCTTAATTTTTATTCGATATTCTTTTATTTTTTTTGAAAATTTTTTTTTTTGATTTATATATACTTTGTACTTACCTTCTTACCTAGCCAACAAATTCTGAGTATTTAGTTTATTTAACTCTTTAATTACCAGAAGCAAGTTAATGCTGATATACCCGTCCTACGGATGGCTGTTGTTACTAGTAGTTCGCCTACTTAATACCTCTTAATACTAAAGAAGGAAGGTAACAATACGAAACCAATCAAGTGTTTCTTTTTATATTTAAACTAAATTCACTTATAGAATGAAATCAAAACCTTATTCCAACAACCCCAATTATTCTTAAGTCTAAGCAAAACTTACGAGTAAGCACGGCAAATAACGAATCTCAGCCAATCTTACCGCACACAAACGCCCCACGAAAACAAAAACAAAAACAACAAAAACAATCTGCAACCTGCGATAAAATGTAAAATCGTACCGAACTTACTGAATCAAATAGAAAAAAATTGAAATTCAAAAAAAATATACTAGTATAAAAATTTATAAAAAAATGAAAAAAACTGAAATACCTGAAATAAAATAAAATAAAATCAATGCTAAAATGGTGCTTAAACTGCTGGCATTTATTTCCAAAGAACAAATTCACAGTACGTAACTGCAACTGAAATTGCAACTGCAACAACTGCCACCGCTCAACATTCATTCAATATTCAATCAAAAGTTTCTTCCGTCGATTTTGTATACATACATACACACACACACACATACATATAAATGCTGCTATATTTTATTTATTTATTTATTTATTATTTTATTTTTGCAATATTGGCAATACTGCGAGCACTCGAAGGCGCAGCCCTGTTTTCTTGTTCTTTTCACTTCTGAACTCAGTCATTAACTTTCAAAATTTATACTTTATACATTTTTATTATATTTTTTCTTCTCTTCTCTTTTCTTTCTCTTATTTTCATATATTCATAATAAACTTGTTAACCTTTTATAACTGTGAACTGTGCTTTAATATATTTTATTATATTTTATAAAATTTCCATATCACATAAAAGAATTTATTGAAATATTTTACATATAAAAAATTTAGCAAAAACGAATCCCTATCACCTTTGCATTCGTCGACATTAACTCCAATGCATCTGCGTAAGGCCAAGCTGATGTTCTTCTGGGTGCGTTATCCCAGCTCAGCTGTACTGAAGATGTATTTCCCGGATATCAAATTCAACAAAAACAACACAGCACAATTGGTGAAATGGTTCTCAAACTTCCGGTAAGTGGAATTTTTTAATAAATATTTTAAAACTTAAAAAAAATATTTAATTATTATATTAATAAATTAATAATTATTATAATTATTTTTAATAAATATTCTAACACTTAAAGAGAAAATAATTAATAGTCATCTTTTTGAAATTATTTATAAAAATTTAAACGAAATCTTTTTAAACAAATTATCAAATAGAATAGTAAATCCAATAACTTATAGTAAAAAAAAAAAACGATTATTTGATATGTGATACTCATCATCGTCATCAATCAAGCAACGATCCTAGTTAAATTTTGACCTCCCTATGTGAGATACTTAATAAACAAATTATAATTCAATATAGTCTATGATCTCTTAGTACATTAAACGAGTATTAAATGAAGCAAGCAAGTATTCACATATCTAAAGGTATATATTTTTATATGTGATACTATATGTGATATGTGATACTGAATACAATTTAATATATCTAAAGTAATGATCTTTTAATATATCACATCAAATGGAATAGTAATTCCAAAACATAATCGCAATATAGGGGAAGTTGATAAAAAAAAGTTAAAGGCTAATTTCTACCGATAAATGCCTTTAGTCACAAAAACCGATAATATTTTAAAAACAATTTATTTAAATAGTTTAAAGCGTATTTCAATTATTAGTTCTACAAATGTTCTTCAAAATGACACATCTGAGACTGTGATCTTAAATGGGTTCGGAAATAGATTTTTTCCAAAAATTTTAATTAAAACCTAATATTTTGTAAAATTTTTGCTACATTTTAAATCTATTCGAAATTGATTTCTTGTCATAATGATGTAAAAATTTATACATTCTTTTTCAATCATTTTTATGACTTCAAGACTCTTCCTTGATCTTCCATCAAGATTGTCCCTTTTATTAAAAATGTCTTCAATATATGATAATTAAGATCGTCCCATCTACCGTGCACCTTTTTCTTGTAATTATACTCAAATTTTTTTACAAGAACTCAGTAATTTTGGTCATCAGTTCTAGTACGCCATGAATAACCATAGTTACGTAGGCCACACTTAATCACTTTCGCGAAATAGAGATAATATAGCAGTTATTTAAAACAAACTATAATACTAGAGAAACAGTAACTGAAGTTGATAAAGCAAAACCTACTGAACGGCATTTAATACTATTTTATTGTCAAGTCGACAATCTCTGCTTCTAAGAATATCACAAAGTACCATAGAAGATAATGTGTGTTGTACTCATTGTAAAGAAAAAGCATGATAGAAGAAATTGGAAGAGTTGATTTCGTATTACTATTTCTTATACTACAGAGATATAGTTCCAATCAATTCAAACCTATTGCATATTAAGGTTACGATATTTGCTAATGGAAGTGTCTAAGAAGTGATGTCCATATGGTTCCCACATTTTTGTCTTCAATAGTTTCAATACTTCCTTTCATAGAACAAACGATCTGGTGGACATAAATCAGTACTCCAACTTAAAATGCTTCATCAATTGCACACTTCTTCAATAACCTATAATATTATTACTGATATATCTGTTTTTATTTTATAAATCCCATCATTAATAGAGTAGTAGAAATATTTTTGTAAAAATGAGAGTTCATATATTTAGCCAATATACCAATTAAAATAGCCTTGATTTAAAAGTTAACATTTGCAGATATATGTCTTCAGAATAGCGCGTTTAAACTATTTTATTCAAAATGGGGATTTACTTAATTTTTACTATATCTAAGGGTTAAACACAAAAAATGACTTCAACATAATATCTATTAACTATTAATATTTTTTCTCAAAAATTCTAAAAAAGTTTGCATTTAAATTGTTCACTTCTTCAGACATAAAAATTTAATTGAAAACTTATTTCGCTGTCAAGTAAAATAATAGACAAAGCAATGTATATATATATAAACTTATATGAGTACACTCATATGTAAAAATTGACACTTGCCATGAGAAGAAAAGCAATGATATGTGAAGGTAACATATCAGCACAACTTCGTGCATCCTTAAAACGAAACATTGAAGCCTCGTCTACTTATTTTGGGCATATGAGGTATGCAATGGAAGACCAAAAACAAGGAATCACAATTTAACAAAAGTAAATAATCAAGTCGAAAATGTATTTATTTTGAATATTCTGAAAATTGGATGTCTTGTGCCAATTGCCAAATATTAGACAACCGTTCAAGTATGCAATTTCCGTATCTAAATGCGATTGTAGGTTTGTGTCGAATGTGTGAAAATACGTCAAAGTGCAAGTGCAGCTACTCAAATCCTATTAAGTGAAATATCGAAACTGTCAAATTTAACTGTAAAAATTTATCTAACATAAAACCAAGTAATTGTTTATAAGTTTAAGGAAATTTTTACCCATGAATTTCAAACAAAAAAAAATTGTATGTGAAAACTCCAACTCATAATAAATAAACTCGCTTAGCCGCTTTAAGTAACTGAAAAATATTTAAAACTAATTTAAGTAAGAAAATATCTTTTTGGTAATGAAGAAAATTGAAGAATTATTAATTCATAATTCTTCAATAGCAAAATTAACTAAAAGATTGGAAAAAATATACTTTTTGCCTAATGCGATTTTTATTTTGAAATCCTGCAATGCTTAAAAGACTCAATATATAAAAATGTAAACAAAAATCCTTTTAACTGAAGAAATTTTATTGTTTGTTGTTCTTCATTGAGTTGCGCGCCAAAAGCCCAAAATCCTTAAATCTCAACTGAAGCCAATCTACCACAGCTGTCTTAAGGCGCATACAATGTATTCGTATCTAAAATATATGAATGTGAACGTGAACGTGTAGTGCGTGCCATAAACGGCTATGCTCAAATCAACATAGTTCACCTGGTTTGGCTACGGAACAACCCTCAGCACAAATGTCATTCACACACGAAGACATTCCTGAAGACAGCTGGTCTTTGAAAATAAATCCAAGACGTTGCCAGTAACGTCTTAAGACATTGTTCACTGCACTCCAAGCAGCCAGTGTGCATATGCATTATCGTCGATGAATGGCATTAATTTGTAGATAGAGAAGTGCAGGTAATGAGGAAAAAAGGCATTGGAAACAAAATAGGGGAAGTATGTAGTAGAATGAATCAAGACACGTACCGAGTTTTTTGTGTGAATTTAAATTTTGCACCTTTTCTGCATTTCTCAAATTATTATAATTTTTCATTACATATGTTATTACATATCCTCAATATATTCTTTATTGTAAACAACAGAACAACAGAGACCAAAAGGCATTAAGCTAAGGGTAACCGAAGGATAGACAAAAGAAAAAGCAGAGACGGAACTATATTTTAAGAAAATTGATTTGAGTTTCTTACAAAATCAAACTACGAACTCTTAAACTCTTAAGGGTTGTCGGGTTGTCGTGAGTTTGCAAGGATAATGTATAGTACAAATGCTATTCGTTCTTTGCATGGGAATTTCTTGATTTTTTTTTTAAAGATGAATTGGTTTGATTGTGCGCATTTATACTTAGGTATTACTTTTAGTGTTACTTTTTTATCTTGTATTTACTTTTGTACCTATTTTGTTTTCTTCTCTTCTAACGTAAACGTTAAAATGGGTGGGAATAATATTGACAACGTCTTCGAAGTTACTGCCTCAAGAACAGAAGTTAAATGTTTTAGGGGTTAAAAGGAATTGTAACGGATTTTTTAAACAAGTTTGCCAAAGGATCTACTTAAAGTTGAAATTTTGATATTTTTAAGTTGACTGCAAGTAAAAAATTTTTTATTTATTATGAAATAATGTTTTCGCAGGCTAATTGGACCAATTATCAGGAAACTGTGAAAACTCTATATTAAAAATAAAAAACTTTATTACATGCTATAATGTACATATTATATATTATATATATTAGAAAAGCAAATAATGTAAATAGTTATTGGAAGTATTGTATATTAATATATATAATATATATGCACCATTTGTTTTTCAAAATGTATATTAACTTAATTATTAACATTTTTCTTTATTTTTTATTTTCCAAATATTCAGTTTTATTAAAAGAACTGCTCTTTTTTATATTGAAATTGCACAAAAATGCTTAACAAGGAGACGTGGCTTTGTGCTTACTATATAGCACAACAGAACTTATAGATTCCATTTTATTATTGTCTCTTCTTATAATAAAATGTACTTCTTTTAAGATAGTAAGGATTTTTTGACTGCAAACTTTTTAGATAAATTTCTCCTCCACCACCTATATCTCGGTTAATATTGGATACAGACCTCACTCTACTCCCATATAATTTTTTACACCCATTTGTTTTGCTTTTTAAAGCAAGGAATCTAAAAGTAAACGCGTTCTATTTATTTTTGCTATTTAGTTAGAACAGATACTATTTTTAATTATTTTAAATGATTTTAATCAATTCAAAATGCTGTATGACTTATCAATTATTATCTAGGCAGATTACTATTCTCTAGATAAATCTAGATATAATAATCTCTTTATGTTTGTGAGTTAGTAGGAAAATCATTTATGCAAATATAATAATAAAAAGAAAAGCTAATTTCATATTTAATAAGCTAGCTTCACCCTTACAAAGTGGAAAGGAAAGGCAAAAAATTCGTATCCCTACTTCAGCACATGCATGTGTGAATAGTCATGTCAATTGTCACTTGCAATTCTGAGAAGGAAGGAAGTCGTTTTCGAAATGCATTTTCAGCACGGCTCTCCATATGCGCCTCATGCGGCTGCCGCATACCATACCGTATGAGGGCCATATGGGGGTCGTATGAGGCAGCGTATGCAGTGCAGGTAGGCGTAGTTGCAACTTGCTGTAGAACACTTATGGCACTTAATTTTATGCCTTTTTTGTGTGAATAAAAGCGCTCTTTTTTCTAAGGGTCCTTTTGCCACAAAAGGTAACAGTTAACACCTTCAGTTTTTGTGATGTGCATGTGTGAAAAAAGCTACAAAATAGCAAAATAGCAACAAAATAAGCACTAATTAGCATTTTATTTATAAAGGAAGCTTTCATTACGAAAGATAAGGAAGTTGATAAAATTTCATTTATAAGATAAAAATTGCTATTTTATTTACAAAACGTTTACATAATGCATATTATATAAGCACTTAAAATTGAAGTTAAATGAAAATGTTATATACTCGTATTCACCTTTTTCCCCAATGAGTTAAGTGCAGATAAGATTGCTTTATATATTGACAGCGCGGCTATAAATTAGTTGAAATGCCTTTAGCTTCAACTACAAAACAAATATTTTATTAAATAAATTTAATTAAAAGGTTTATGTATTGAAATAAATAACGCTGACAATAGAGCATTTGGGTTAAGTGGGATCTACTTAATATAAGTATACTTAACAGATTATCAATAATAATATAACTTATATAATATAAACTTATAGGTTTCCATTTAATTGATATCAATTCACTGATCTAATTTATTATTTTGCTAACGAAAGTCATCGTTTGAATTAATTTTATCAGAATCTATAGCATTTGTGTTCTCCGAGTCAGTTTTGGAAGAAGCTCTATTAACATATTCTACAACCTTACAATTTCTGAGACCCACATTAAAAATTATATTTGTATAATGGGACTTATTATATGTGTACTTGGAGAAGTGTTTTATTAAACAAAATTATGGACATAGAACCTATGAAGATACATCTTTTCTTTCATTATTTATGAAGACCGTTTATTAACTTTCCTTAGTTTATTTAATCTCTAGACGCTTCATACAAATAGTTTTGGATGAAAGTGTATTATTCTGATCATTCTCATTTTTATCAACCTTCTATGTTCTCAAAGACACATTACAAATTACATTTGCATAATGTGATTAATTATGTATGTATTTGGAGAGATGCTTCATGAGATAATTCTCATTCATCAATTTATAATTTAATTATATTATGGGAATACATTCTATGGAGATGTGAATTAAATAACTGCTTTGGTTATATTAATTATAAGGATCATCTCATATCTCTTAAATTTTATACAGTTTTCTTATATCTATTAGAGATGACTACACTCTAAATATGTCTCTGAATACAGAGACATCTCTGAAAAAGACAGGCAATCTGTTTCCTGACATTAATTTCTCGGATATTGGTAATCTATTTGCAAAGGCCAAGCTGGCAATAAAGCAAAACTATCTAAGCATTGCTAAACAAATTTGGGTACATGGAAAAGTCTTGTCAGATCTCAAGATCGAACTGGTCCAAACTGGGCAAGAAACATACGAATTAGGTACTTCAATAAAAACGTAACCTTTTTAGTAGTTCAGTATCGTTGCTAATACCTCACTGCATATTAGAAAACCATGCTATGAGACTTAGTCTACTCTATAATGACTTTTGTCTCTACCGACGCTTTCTTTCCCTTTTTTCCTTAATCGTGACACGAGTTAGTAACCATATTTTCTTCTATGTAATGAAATAAACCGAGCATTACCTGTACACTCAGTCGTGGTCATCGTACCCCATTAGCCCCATAAATAATGAGCAACTCCGAATAATTCATTTTTAATTAGTGCTGTTAATTACTAATTAATATTTTTAATTTTTTTTTACACCAACTATAAATTTACATAAATTAAAAACTATACAAATATTAGACACTGTAATTTTTTATTCTGCAACCTAAATAATAAATTTACTATTATATAGAATTAGTAATTTATTAGAAAGCATTAGGTATTTATGTGATGCCACTTCTTAAATAACTCTGCCAAACACTTTTATCATATTAGAAACCAGAAGGCATACATATCAACATAAGAACTCCTTCAAAATTTATTTAGCAAAAAGTATACAGGATATTTGTGTGTTTTCATTTTTTTTTTAATATTATTTAATTTTTTCATTTGCTGCTAACGCATTTTGTGAAAATCTCATATGAACAATCTTCGTTTTCTTTAGAAGTGCCACTTTGCCATCTACTGCTATTAAGTCCGTTTCCCCCAACCAAGTACTCAACCACATTATTAATAAGCTAAATCCAAATGCTTTGGATGTTGTTTGCTTAACGTGTATAATACACCACGCATGCCAACTTCCACTTCATATGCATGCACCTGCATCTGCATGCATATACATGCATGTGCATATGCACCAATGCAAAGTATGTGCAACAGCAGCAACAAAATAAAAGCATACACACATCAAATGAAATTGTCACCTACCTTGCCACAAATACATTTGCATATAATGAAGTAATTGGCAACACTTTTTACTGCAGCAAACCAAGCAGCAGGTACTGCCAACAGCAGCAAAACATCTTTTCACACAAGCTAACCTAAAAGTACACTTAACCTCAAAAATTTCAAAATATGAAAAAAAACCGTTTCTAAAAAAAAAACGGTTTTCACAGTAAACGTACTCGCTACTGACAGTGTTGGAAAGCGGCAGTTGCTTAGTTTAAGCGGTGACTAAAGCTAAAATTGAGTTATTAATACCGCATCCGGTAGCGGGTTTGAGTCACTTATATGCATTTCGTGATGTTGTTTTTTCTTTATAAGCTTTTCAATTCCTTTTTATATAGAGGAGCGCGCATATCCTTGAGCATTTTTTAAGTATAAGTGCGCTACCGTCTGTCCGTCGTTTGTCAGTTATATGCACTTAGTAGTATAATATTTTTTTTATCGCTGAGTAGGTTTGTATAGATTTTTTTTTTGTTTACACTTTTTATATTTCCAACATCTTAAATAAACTAATTAGCTTTTGTTGACATTATTTCAGAAGAACTTTTTTCTTTTTATCATATCTCCTCTGCATATAATATAATTATGCTACTCTTCCAGTTACCTATTATATTAGCTACTTCTGTTGTTTTTGTTTTTCCCAAGTAGTTCTTTCAACTACTTGAGGTTCATTGTCTCAGATCTCTTTTGAGTTTTTAAATAATCTTTATTTTTAATTAAAAAATGGTGGTTTTGTATTTGAAGTTTTCCCATAATTG